ATATTGTTTTAAATTTTTTTTTATATTTTATATTTTAGTAAAATATTCATGTAATTTGCCTTTACATAAATTCAAAGACACTCAAAGCAATGTGTGCATTTCCCCTTCCTATGCAGGTATAAATACCAGCCCAAAATACTGGTTTGTTTAGTCTACCCATAACTACGCCTGGTTCCAAACAGACACCTTGTATTTTCAAATAGATCTCTTCATATAGCGCTGAATTTCTTCAGCTCTGTGTACTTTCTATGGATGTAATGTCAGGACTGAAACGTTTTGGCTAACCTGCTGGAGACAACCAGACAAACTGAAACAATCAAAATGAAGACGTTAGGAGAGTCAGATGCCGGCAGCCTGATCAGCTGTAATGAAAGCTACAGATTTCTATCCAGGCTGTGGGGCTGTCTGCCTCGACGTTAAGTCATTAAATGTGTGGCTAATAGGATGGGGAATGAGCTGACTATTAGGAACCACCTGGTATAATTTTGCATTTGACAAAATCCTCTCCAGAATGATCGCAGTTAATGAGAAGCATCGTTAAACATGTGGCTTGTTAAATGCGCTCACTTAGATTAGTCAGTCACTTAGACACCTTTTTTAATTAATCCCATCTGAATTGTTGAAATTTTGCGAATTAATTTAACATTTCATGACAGTGTTTCTATTTATTTCTTATTCTAAAGCTTAGTGGTGGCTCTTTCTTTCATCCTAAATTCAATGCGTTGTGAAACAGAACAACAATAATGTGTATAAATAATTATAGATTGCACTGTATGTCAGTGGTAATAAATATAGACAATTTAAGTGTGGGGAAACCATAATTAAGTCTTGGCCTTGGGTATCCCTTTCCTGACCTGACCACCATTAATGGACTGTACTTACATACATAGCACTTTTTAACCTGAACAATTCCCATTCACACAATAACAGACTGGCATGGCCATGTGGAGCAATTTTAAGTTCAATGACACGTCCACATGTGGACAGGATGAGCAAGAATTTGAATCACCAACCCTGCAATAAATAATATCAAATGCACGATCAAATCCTCAAATCCTCTTTTTAATATACCTGGAAGAGAGCTGTGATTTCAAGAAGCACACCACACCATGCACTCTTCCAGAAAGAAAAGCTTTGTTTTGCACATTTATCCCCATGTTACCTTGTAACATCCTACTGCCTTGTTGATGTCGCCCTCTCTCTCAAAGAGCTGTCCAAGGAATTTGTGTGCTTTTGGATCCCTCTCCTGGACTTTGAGATACTCCGATACATGTCTAGGGAGAGCATGGAAAAGGCAAGATTACCGTCAGTGTAATGGAGACCTCTTGAGAAGCAGTAACACATGTGCTCAACAACGGTGAAGCTTGTGTGCTTACCTCTTTGCAAGTTCATATTCCTTTGCTTCAAAGTACAGTTTAGCAAATAAAAATCCTTTGACTGGCTTCTGTGGAAAGAAAACATTGAAGATCAGTGAACCAACAATGTTTTGAATATTCAAATCATATTTATCTTGCTTGTCATGTTAGCTAGCAGGCACAAGGATAACCCCATTTAGAGTTAAAAGTTAATTCACAAGATGTCTTATTGGGAGGTATTACCCCAGATGCAAATGACCCTTCAATCCTCATGTGGTAAAAGCGAACATCATATAAGGCAACATAGTTTTAGGATTATCTCCACTTTTTTTTTTTTTTTACTTATTCACTCCACTTTGATTTACTGCTGACCTTCCTGGTCTACCAGACAAGAGCTGGTGTTGTTTGATGGGATTTAATAAATGAGTGCTTGTTCCTTTAGATTGTGCGATGCTAGGAACTGGAATAACTTAGCTTTGCACATTCAAATAATAAGCAAGAACCTTAAAAGCAGATGTTTATACATGCAACAACATCTACTGCACATCAGTCTGTCCTGGAAGAGGATCCCTCCTTAGTTGCTCAATTTTTTTTTCTATTTAGGTAGGGGTTTTTAAGAGTTTTTTGTGGAGGTCTTTTTCACTATGAGGGTCCAAGTCAGAGGATTGTCATATGTTGTAAAGCCCTCTAAGGCAAATTGTGATTTATGATATCTAACTTAATATATAAAACTGAAACTTGAAATTCTTGTTTGTACAGCCCTTTGTCATATAAACTTGGGTTATAAACTTTGAGTTGACATTTTGACAATCATTTAATTATACATCATTTAGTTTCTTGGTGTTTAACTGATGTGAGTTCATTGATGACAATATAAATATTTAGTGTGAAGGTAGTATGATATCGCCCTGCTACCTGAACTAATGCATCTTTGCTATCTTTACACCAAGGACCACAGTGGAAATATTGTGATTGATGGACTTAACTTAGTCATTCTTGTAATTTAGTGTGATTTAATGCCTCCATGCCCACAATGTTAAATAACCTTAACTACATATCTACAAGGTTATTGGTGCCCTACTTCCTTTCAGTGGGGTAAAGGTTTCACAAAGTGCTCAGCGCAACTTAGCGTTAAATTAGCATCGCACCAGCATAGTACCTGTGGTGGTAACACTAACTGTACAGATTATCTAGTTGCTAATTAAGCTACATGATAGAAGTTTCCTGAATAAGGCTTGAGTGTAGCTGCTTTACACGAGTGAACGGCGTGTATTCCGGTTACAGTGTACTGAAGCCATGTTGTTAAAGATATAAAGCTAATACTAGCTGTACAAGTAGTCCAAGTAGCTGAGTGAGTGGTGGCTAACTAGCACGGCCGTTTGGCTAGCGTTGCTGTGGTAGCTCCATGCCGCGCATTTTCTGAGTACGAAGGGGTGGACACGAACGGGCGTCATCATACCGGCTAGCTGACGCCGCTAGCCTGTGGTAGTTAACAGAGGCTACACTGAACACATAACTCAAGCTAACTAATTAAACTTGAGTTTAATTAACACTACAACAAGTGCTTATTTGACCGTGGTTGTTTCCTCATACCGGCTGGCTGACACATGCTGGTCTGACATGATGGCAGCAACATGCTAACATTAACTAGCCGCCGGGGCTCAACTTACCTCTTTGAGTGAGGGAGATGAACTCTGTACTGAGGAAACGTAACGGTCCACTTCAGCCTTACTCCGCCGCATGACTCCCAAAAACAAATACTTTCAACACGACTCACTATGGCGCATAGGATAGCGAGAATTCACAAAATATAAAACGGACATTAGTATCAGCTCGACTGTCACTCCGTAACGTTAACTCCCCATGATGATGTTGCGCAGTCTCATTACCGTCAAATGGCAGAGGGTCACGTGGGACGTGCGCACGCTTGAATCCCGCTCCTCAACCAATGAGAAGCAAGAAGTCCGTTTGACGCCCGCTGACGCACATTATTTTGAAGCAGAGGTGGGCTAGCTGGGGTGAACCATCTGTCTGGACCACATACTCTATGCAATAGGTGTCATAGTGTATTTCAAATCGTCTCCAACAATACAACAATATATTATTTTACATAACACCAATTAAACACCAAGAAAACTGTATTTGGTAATATTTTGCGAGAATACATGTTTATTTATTAAAATAAAGTAATAAATAGGCCTAACAAAAAGAAAAGATTCAAATCCAGTAATAGCTGCAATGTTTAAAACAGTTATTTGATGACAGAGGTGGGACAAGTCATTGTTCTGCAAGTCACAAGTAAGTTTCAAGTCTTAACACTCAAGTCTTGAGTCAAGTTCAGTCAAAGGTCCTAACGTTTCAAGTCCTAAATAAGTGATTATGCACTTTTCACCAAATGTAATGCCATTTTAACAACAGAGTAACAACTTAAATTACAAATATCATGAATGAAAAAATCAGTATTCATTTGTCATAACAAGTGTGACTGAACTTAATCATAAAAAAGACCTGCTGACATTGAACTTCCATAGCATATAGCACTGTATAGCACGGAATGAATTTTGTGTGTTGGTGCTGTCTTGCTGTAAACTTATTCTATATTGGAAAAATGTCTATATTTTTTTCCTCATATATTTGAGATTTTTTCTGTCTATTATTTATTTAAAGTAATAAGTATGTTTTTCTATATTTTATGTCCAAATGAAATGAAAATATTAATGTTAACATTAGTAAATTGAGGAAATAAAGGAAAATATATTTTTATTCATGTCACACTTTTTAAATAACAAACATTTCATCTTTGGGCTTGGGGAAAGGTGTCAAATATTTTCAAGTCAAAAGGCTCAAGTCCAAGTAAAGTCACGAGTCTTCAGTTTTTAAGTCCAAGTCAAAGTGCAAGTCTTTTTTGATTTTGTCAAGTCTAAAATCATCAAAGTTGTGATTTGAGTCTGACTCAGGTCCAAGTCATGGTTCTGAAGTCCTCACCTCTGTTTTATGAACAGGGTATCTACAGGTATCACAACACTTAAATTCAATGTTTTTTTAAGATTTTTTTCTAGATAATCTTTTACCAAATTTAAGGTTGTTTTTTTTTTTAAAAAAAAAATCTTGACTGTCTTATACAAGCATTGCAGGTAAGTATAAAGGCAAAAAAAAAAAAAGTAAGAAGTACATATGTGGTCCTGTATAGAGGTAAGTTTTATGTAGGAATATTTTTAGCAAATTAAGTTAGGTTAAACTAAGTTTAGCCAACCGTTGAGTACAAATATAAAGTAAAAAGACAATATTAGGTTTGTACCATCACTGGCTCATTTTGACAAAAATAAATTGGATGGATTACTTAAATTAAATTAAATTGTTTGTGGCAAACAAATAAAAATTTAAGACTATTTAATGACTGTTAAGGCCTAATCCATGGAATGATACTTTAACTCAAGTAAGCCAAATGTTACCTTCGGTGTAGAATAATCTAATCAAAGCTGCAAAAAATATTTATAAAACATAACAAAAAAATACTCGCTATAATTGTGATTATGTGTTCTTAACCACGAGAGCCTCCATGACGTGTGAATCCAAAATCTGGCATGTTACACTCTGAGAGAGGTGAGAAATTGCACATCAATAACATCACTACATGGACACTGGTAGCATTGAAATACATGTTTATTCAGGTGAACTGACAGAATTACTTTGGATATAATGAAAAATAGTAATGTCTAGAACATGCACTTTGGTGTGTTTACATAATAAATACTGTCTCTTGACAAGCATTGCAAAGATAAAATACAGTATTGGAGCAGTGTCTGTCTATGTGGAGTCATCTCAGTCGCCCAGGTAGTAACATATCAGAAAACTTTCCACTGGACTATTTTTAGGAGTTCAGAAAGTTCAGTGAATATTTCTTCTTCTTCAAGTGAGAAATGTTGTGGCGCAGGTAGTGAAATTCCTAGAAACACAGGTTTGTATTTCCATAAATAGTGGAATGTGTTTTTCTACTAAACTACTATGTGAAACATATGTGATAAAATACTGCGCAAGTGAAACTATTCTTTCCTATTCGCAACACTTGGCTTTCTTTCCTAAGAGGGTCTGAGCCCTGAGGAAGTTGGTACACCTCTCTAAGAGGATCACTTTCTCTGGATTACAAACAGCAGTAACACATGTTCTCTAACATCCAACATTACTCCCACATCCGGTCTCTGCACACGCCACAAGCCATCATGCTGCAAGACACACATGGTCACCAGTTGCCATGCAATAAATCCTGTTACTGTGAAGCTTATTATGCTCAGTGTTTGTTTACAGCATGTCAGAGGTGTTGCTTAATCTCTGTAGTAATTTCTAAAGCTGTGGTTATGGTGTTGAATTGGACTGAGTTATCCTGCCGCCCTCATGTATTTAAACGAGTAGATAACACAAAAACTGAACAATATAAACTTGGGATTTATTTCAGGGCTGTTGTATTGGATGATATGAGATTGTACAAGTGACCCTAATAAACTGGTATTGTATTGTAAATACCAGTTTACATAGAGATTGTTTGCATAGCACATAAGAAGGCAATCCAGCATACTGCAGTTGATGGTTGAGTCCATCAGTGTAGCATTAAGGAGGCTACAGTAACTGTGGATGCAAAAAGAAGTTCTAACTTTATAGAGCTAAACACAAACTTATATTGTATAATATTAAAGAAAATACACATTAATAACATATAAAGTAATACATATTGGTGAAAAACATGACATATTGGAGATACTATATACACATTCAATAAAACTGTATTTTGCTCTCTTTGGGTTTACTCCATTATTATACTCAAGTATCAGTAACATGAGTCAAACAGAGGACACGTGGCTTGGCGTCATGAGACAAGTTGGCAAGTAGCTGAACAGTCTGTCAATACGCATTTTTAATATTCACACGTTCCCGTGTTTGCTTAAAGCTCATATGTCATTTTAAATTACAGGATCGTCATCATCATCTGTGTTTAGGTTTAATACATAGAGTGAAATAAGGCAAGCATGTGAGGCATATAGAGCGCAGTATTTGAGCTAAAGGCACTTTACAGGTTGATGATAAACCTACTGACTGACTGACCAACAATCTGTGTGTTGGCCCATCTGTCAGTTTCAGGCTCGTGAAATGATCCTCTGTAACTAAAAGGACATAAAGAGGCGTGTTCGCTGAAATAACCGACCTAAGTTTGAAAATAATTATATAAAAAACACAAATCCTGTCTTATATGATTGTCAACTCTGGAAGTGCGACTAGCATCACCACATTTCATCTATTTCTCCCTCCTTCCAGCTGCTCTGCTATGCGTTCACTTCCGGGCCACAGTCTCAGACAGCTTCTTCAGTCTCTTCTTCAGCTCCAGGGGGAACTTCTCGTAGCACTTCTTGCACACTGGCTTCATGTCAAACTCCACAAACTTGTTCCTGGTGAGGAAAACAGGTACAGTCACAGTTAGAGTTTGGATCTTCGATATTCGTCACTGCAAGCATGCACATACAGTATCTATGTCAATGCTATGTCTGCGAGCATGAAAAATGCTTAAGGAAGTTGCTGAGTTGTAGATTCACCCTAGAGCGCTGACAGGTATACATTTCATATCCTTACAAAACACTTCTGTAGCAGCACATAACCTGAAATGCTGATGTACAATGGGGGAAAAGAAACTAAACAAACTGTGGTCAAAAGTGATTCTTTTTACTTTTATTATATTTATTTTTATTATATTCATCCCGACTGATCGGAACAGAACTTTTGTTGTGACGTCTTACGTCTGTAACATCGTCATATTGAACTCCTTGTCCTTGAAAGATTTTGCCCTACACTATGTGTAAAAAAACACATATTGTAGGGCAAAATCTTTCCTAATTACATATGCTTTTGTTCATTGTAAAATTCCTGAGAATTTTTTAGATAATTCCCTTTTTTGGCCTTTTAGCTATTATTGAGTGCAGATGGTAGACAGACAAGATACATGAGAGGCAAGAGGAAAAGGGATGGATGACATGCAACAGGTCCCCTGCCAGAATCAAATCATGACCATTGTTCTTTTATGCTATGCATTTTAATTACTGTGCTACCAGGATGTCAAACCTCAAACTTGTTAGCAAATTTCAGTATTTCAAATTTAAATATCAGTGTTTGGGCAGACCTGGATGCATGTGCACATCTAATAAATTTTGTAAGGATTTCTAATCTTGACAGCACAGGGATTTTTGAACTTTTATTTTTAACTTTTCATGAGCTAATACACCTCATAGAATGACGAAAATCATGTATCCCAATACTTTCTATATATTTACTAGTGTAGATCTACATGTAGATTACACATTTCTAAATGTTTTTATTAATGAAATAACACACGGGAATTGTGCAGCCTTGGCAGAGGAAAAATTTGCTCCAATAATGCTTATTTTCTGTTTTAAATGCCTTAATTCCACTAACACTGGCAAGCTCTCTAACCCCCCCCCCCAGCTGTCCTGGGCGACATTTGCTCCCCAAGCAGATAATCACTGGCAGGACCAGGGCACGTGTTAAACCCAGAGGGACCTCAGCACTTCCACAGCTGGGGCCAGAAAGCTGCCGGAAGCGATTAAGGCTTTACCCTTACGCCCAGACGGACCGGGAGACCCAGGAAACAACGCATTCCCTTCACCATGTGACTGATCTGATTTGCCTGTTTGCATAGCGGAGGTTACCAGCCTTAATCCTGACTAGTGTTTCTGGCTGAAAGCTGGTTATGTACTGATACATTTCCTGTGTTAGGTCACTCAAATACTTTCAGTCTGCGCATATTCACCTACTAAAGTCTGCTTTCATAATTTGTCTTGAAAGCCAGAGGAATTAACTATAGAGGTGTGAGGAATAAAAGTGGCTTTGAGTATGTTTGAAACTTGATGACAATGAAAAAGCAAAAGAAAAGGAAACAGAAAGAAAGATGGAAACTGACCAAAGGAAGAGCAGTGGAAGTGAGGAGAAAGGAGAAAAAGAGGATCATAGACACATGGGTATCAGTAATTTCTTCTTCTTGTCTTTTGAGTCGCGTTCCCGCTTGGCCAGCCGGCGTTTCATGTCGTCCGGCAGGCGTTCATAGCAGTGCTTACACACTGGCTTCAGATCCACCTCCACAAACTTTTCCCTGACAGAGCAGGGAGAAGGGAGAGATGGAGATGGGTGTGAAAGAGGGGGGAGAGAAGAGGAAGGGGGAGAAAAACATTGAGGAGGCAAGAACAGAGTGAAGAAGAAGGGTGAAAAGGAAAAAAGACAAAGTTCAAGGAGGAGAAAGAAAGTTGCAGAGAGCAAGGGAAGGAAATGTAGAACAGGAGAAGCACACATGGGGACAAAGAAGAGGGATGATGAAATGAAGGAGAGGTAGAGAAACAAGTCCACAGAGAAACTGTGTTATAAGAGAGAGGTGAAAAATTCAGGAGTGAACATGATTGAAAAACAGACAGTTAATAGCAGCAAACAGTCCCAGATGCAGGGTGGTAGTGAAAGAGAAAAATGACAAGCAAAGACTGAGCTCGGCCAATTTCTGGCAGTTTTTAGAAAATAAAACAAATACCAAATGAGTACAAAAACTTGGTTACAATGTGTGGATTGATCTCACTCCACAGTGATGGTATTATTGTCTCTCAGACTGCTGTATTACTTACTTGAGGGTGAGCTTGGTGTTGCAGGTAGAGCAGGCAAAACAGTTGACACACCAGGCCTTGTTCAGGGCAGACACCACTGACAAAAACAGAAGAAACACTGTCACATGAGACACTGCTTAACATCACCATCATATGACTGGAGCTAAAAGGGTCTGGTTTAGTCTGAAATTTAAAATCTCATTTCTAAAAGGCAAGAAATCCACACATAATGAAAATACAGACAGTGACATATAAAGAGAAGTAGAAATAAAAGGCAATGAACAGCACAATGAGAGACATATTATCACTCCACCATAAAAGTTTTCTTACCATCTCCTTCAATGACACGATTGCAGTGGTAGCAAACATCTCCAAACAGCTGAGTGTGATGAAGGGAGAGGAACAGACAGTGAGCAACACGGTGACACATCTTATGAGTAATAAAATTCTGCAACACAGTGTAGCACTGACAGACTTCCTCATGGCTCATATAACATGCTGTGTTCGAAAAACATGCAAACAAGCACAGGCTACAGAGGCATTTTATAAACTTTGTAAACCTGGAAGCACAAGTATTGTGTTGGTAAAAAAAAAACCCACTTACACTAGGTGGAGTAGTAGTAGTGACTTAATGGGATCTTTCTGATCCAGCATACTTCAGATTGATAATTGTTTGAAGCAATGTCTTAAGAATGTCAAAGAGGACCTATTATGCTCATTTTCAGGCTCATACTTGTATTTTGGGCTTCTACTAGAACATGTTTGCATCCTTTAATGTTCCGGTAGCTCACCAGACAGGATGCATATCATTTAAGGCTGAGTCTGGGTCTGAGTCAGGCCCAGGCCCTTTGCTGCATGTCATCCCCTCTATCTCCCCTGCCTCTCTCTCTCTCTCTATGAAAATAAAGCAGAAATGCTAATACAAAATAACCTTAAAAACCCCACATTATTTTCCTCGTACTGTCTGAGCTGGAACACCTGCATTCACCACCCTCTGTCTGATTCGCTCCGTTTTAGTGCATCACTCTGCTCTATTTGTTCAGCCTATCTTCCACATCTGTGCTCTCGGTATCTCTGCACATCATTGAAGGTGGCTGAATGACTGTCAGGAAATATAGCAGCACTGTCTACCATGAAAAATCAATCAAGTTCCAGCAGGAATATGTCCTGGAATCAGGGTGAAATTAGCAATGACGGAATCCAAGATTATATGTTTCCTTGACGTTAGCATGTAGCTACATGTAGCAGTTGCTGTGTCTCAATTTGCGTACTTCTGTAAGTGCATTCACACTGAGAAGTATGGAAAAATGCAGGGCACTATGACTACCCGGATGGTGCATACAAAACGGTCAAGAAGTTGAGTGTGGAACTATGGACACTTCTCGCCCTCAATGGTCGCCATCTTGGCTACGTAGCGGAAGGGGAGGGACCACTTTACAAACTGAAAATAGCGGCCGAGGACTGTCCAACCGTGAACATCGCTGAATTGTACAAATACATGTGTTCCACTATACTGTTGTCGGATGTAAGCCAACAGTATGTTTATTGGGTTAATTTAGCAGTCTGTAATGATGTGGTGCCGCGAACAATAACGCGAATGCTAATGCTAGTTTGCTAACTAGCTAATTTGCGGTTGTCATTTCCGGTGAGTGCACAACGGCAGTGTTTGGTTTGAGACAACACTACCCTGTCAAATTTGTGCACTACCCCAATGAGTACATAGTGCACATAGTATACTATATAGAAGTATACTAACGGAAGTACGTGATCTGAGACACACCAAGTGTTTGTGATGTAAACATTTGCAGTAATAACAAAGTTCATCACAAGCTAACGTTAGCTTGTAGGCCTACCCAAATTAGAAAAAGCATTGAAAACAGAGTAATAAGAACTGTAGGAAACCTGAGGTATTTGCTCACAGTGATTACTTCTACATACATTTACCTCATTATCTGAAACTTCGGCCTCATTTTCATATGAACATCCGACACTGTAACATTATATATATGATAGACAATAAGGAAGAGCATAATAGGTCCCCTTTAAGTCCAGTGAGTGGTGCCAACTGTAACTAGTTTAAAGATTTTCTGGAATCATGTCATGTCATGTTGTTGATACTTAGTGTATGCTTGTGTGTGTCTAGAAATGTTCTAAAAATGTTCAGAAACAAGAAAAACTACATTGGGAACAAATTAAATGTCTCACCCAGAAATCCTCACATATAACAGTACAATTTGTGTATGTGGCTCACCCAAAAAGATTATTTATGTTGTTTTTAACTGAAATTGAACAAAATGTTGGATTCATGTGCGATATTACTGACTGAAAAAATTACATCTCTGATTAGAAGTTGGAATGCAAGGTTATTTTATATTAGCATTTCTGCTTTATTTTCATAGAGAGAGAGAATCAATTAAAAATAAATGGAGATGTTTTCACGACTGCCAAAACATAGCACAGTGTGTTTTAATTTCTATCTGTGTGTTCAACATAAATATTCCCCATACAGTTGAGTGTTACCTGGTTATAGTGTGTTTCACAGTAGGCCAGGCCCTTGCGTTCGTAGTGACGGTGTCCCAGGAAAGGTTTCTCACACTTAGCACACACAAAATGCTGCAAACAAACCCCACACCAAGCACACATGGTTAGCACAGCTGTCAGTCAGTACATTATCACATTCAGACCATGTTACAGGAAGCAGCACAGTCTGGCTGAGTCATTATCAGGTCAGACCACAACCAGATCAGTTCAGTCCAGATGTCCTGTTACTGCGTCCAAAGCAGGATACAGAGAGTAGAGAAGGTGGACAGGACAGTGAGCTCTAGTGGGTGTATTAATCCTCCAAACAGATATGTGAGGAATTAATGGTAGGGTGTGACAGAAACTAAGGGGGAATACGCCTTTACGCAACTGAATGATGATCCCTCACGTGTCTGTGTAGCAGGACACCTTAGATGAGTATTACAGAGTAGGCTTACGTTAATACTGATTTTTAAAAGCCAAAAAAAGCTGATTTTGATGGATGGCTTTGCTAGCCTTTTATTTTTTAAATTTTAGATCTATACCTAAAATAAAATACAAATTTCCGACATAATTTTATTCTTACAGTGTATAAAACGCCTCTGACAGAACATTAGCTATCATCTGACTGTAACACTCTGCAGAGAATCTAATCAACCCATTAAATCCAAAATTTTTACTGCTATGTGAATACATTAGTTTTACCTCTTGGATCGTGACATTACTCAAATGTAATGCCTTTTTTTCAGTGAATAAAGTAAGTTAAGCAATATAAAAAAAAGAAAATCAAAGTTTGGCTTTCTTTTTATCTCATGCAGCCTATGTGTAGATATGTTCCATATGATATTTTAAAATATAGTGCAATATAAATGTTGAATTAGGAGGTAACTGGGTTGAAAACGTGATCTGGCATCAAGACAAAAGTTAATTTCAATCTGGCTTGTAGATCATGCTCTGGACACATCAGGCCAATCCTTAATCCCCTCACCATGTCAAAGTGTCTCTCACAATAGGCGCGACCACCTCGCTCATAGAACGGGTGGCCCTGAAATGGGCGCTCACACACAGAGCACACATGATGCTACATGTGGAAGACAGGAAAATGGCCATAAAATGTGAATAGACAGAAGAAAATACGCAGATACGTGGTGGAATGATGCCAGACAGAATTTAACAGAGACAGTTAATGGAGGCATGAAGTATACGGCTTGGAGATGGAGCAAACTGAGCAGAACTGTGGAGATAAAGCTGGGAAAAGAATGAGTTACACATATAGCACACGTTACAGAGAAGTCACTAGAATGAAAAATGTAAATTGCATTTCAGCAGGAAAGTCACTGTAAATGTTGGGAACCTCAGAGACTTCTCTTTACAGATGCAGAAAACAGAGTAATAATCATTTCAAACAGAACATAGACAGTTTAAAAACAGCCAATACCAAACAAATATATTCACAATTTCACATTCCTAAATGAGAGGGTAAATCCAGTGTCTCCTGAGCGTCAGGTAACTGAGGTTGTTTTGAAAAGTTTAACATCATACCTCCACATGCCACTGCTTGCCCATGGCATTAACCACACGGCCCTCGATGGGTCTCCTACAGGCCCCACAGATAGGAACGCCCATCTTGTCATGGCAGGGCAGACAGTAGAGCTCCCCCTTCAGCTCCCTGGCATCAGCCGTCAGCTCCTTACTGCAGAGAAGAAAGGTAACAACACTACATCAGCTCTGCTTTCAATCAGGTGACACAAAATAGCATATTAACACAGTCTCATACGTACATATAACACACACACACACACACACACACACACACACACACACACACAAGGTTGTTTTCATAATGCTAGACACTTTCAGTCAGGCCACAGCACCGGTATGACACACTTTGTATTACATAAATACAACTGCAATTACAAAGTTTGTCCACTAGACAGCAGTGTTTAGTCGTGATATTCATAGTTTATCTGTCTCATCTCAGTATATTCAACAAACTGGATCCTAGCATGAAAGAGTGCATAAACCTGGCAGCATCATAACGGCATAACAAATGAAGCATGATCCTTATTAGAAGACCTCTATGTGTAAGTCTTAGATGTTTTCACAACCTGATGCAGCTTGCTCACACCATCTACTGCAGCATGATGAGGTCCTCCCACTGCCTTTATACACTGAGTGATTTATGAGACTGACACAGCTGGACAGGTTTGTGTGTTTGGGTGTATGTATGTTTACCCGCAGTTGTTGCAGTTGAAGTGATCAGGGTGGTATGGGTCATTCTTGAACAGGAGAGGCTGCTCCTCAATAATGGCGTGACACTTCTGACAGATGTACTTGCCGAGGCCTCGAGCTTTCTCTCTGTTGTGACATGGACGACACAGGTGCCTGATGGGAGAGAGGGGAACAGATGAGAGAAGAAAATGACACGATAAAGGAGAGATGGAAGGTTTATTTATTGGATAGTTTACTGATCTTCTCAGATAGATCAGATTCTCCAGCGTCTAATGACCTTGTGTTCTAGTGCTAGTTCTAGTTCTACTGCTACTGGGTCACGGTTTGGTGCACACAGCCGTATGCAGACAGGTGATACGTAGACTGATGTGCGTAATGTGGAATCAGAGTTCACAAGAGAGAATTCTGTCCTGAAACTTTTAGCTGTATGTAGTTTCAGTACATGTCACTCACACTATGGTGAGCACAAATGATACACCGGAGTTGGAAGACCCATCTGTGGGTTCCCAGTCAGCTAAGACAGCAACAGAAAGAGAGCTGCGTATAAAATGAAGATGGTGTGTCAGCTTCGCTCCACCATTGTAAGGTATGTGAATGGAAAAACATCAGACATGCTAACATACATTTGACTGCATCACCCAGAACAGCTGATTAATGGGATGATAAATGCCCGTATGAAAATCTAGTTATTGGGTTACTGGCCATTGTAATCATTCCTCCATTTGGATCCTCCATACTTTGTCTTTTAGTGCAAAGTTCCCTCTTTGTGGTAGACTTTGGGTACTAAAAACATTGTAACATGGGAGGATGGCCACTTGATTTGTCTAGCACAAACTGCTGAAGCCTCATATTGGCTTCAGCTAAACTTAGTGGGTTTCGCATAAGGAACGAGAGGAAGAATTACAGCCACAAGAAAAAATGTGAACCCATCCTCTCGTCCTTTTAAAACTTTAACATGATTTAGTTTCTCTTGACAAAACAGAGACGCAGGATAATGAAAAGGAGGTCAAGGAAGAGAAGGTTGTGAGAATGCTTGACGTGGGCTTATAGAAGTTTTAGAGACATCAGTACAAGATAAAACTGCATTCTGCTTTGGATTAGACATTAACTGATTTGAATTGATCACCAGTGGAACAATGTCAACTGGTTAAGGAGTACACCAATAGAGGACTTGCACACAGAGAACAAAAAGATTCAGACTAGAGTCCTTTCTTTTTTAATGCTTCTAATGATGTCTTGAGGCTACGGTTAGTTAAAAAAATGTAGAAAAGTGCAGATATTTCAGCCCATATTGGACTTTCCTTAGTTCAAAACTGACAGCTGCTATACTTTCTCCCTCACCACCATCAGAGAAGAAGACTAACAAAGGACAGTTTTTTAAGGCGCAGGTCAACCCTTGTGAACCACTGGTTGTAGAGGAACTGACCTTCCAGCGTTCTTCACAAATCCAACGTCAGCGAGCACAGCCTGGCAGATATCACAGCAGAAACAGTCTGGATGCCAACTGTTGTTCATGGCCTTGATCACACGGCCAATGATGAACTCGCCTTAAAAAAGATTACAGAGAAAGATTACAAGGGAATTTGGTCATGGATATTTATTGTTTAAAAGACATCCACTTCAAGCTCAAGCTCCATATGACCCTGAACTGGTAAACAAAATGAATCGATGGTATTTACTCTGTTACTGCAGTTCCTGTACTTACCACACTGGTGGCAGCAGGGAGCAAACAGCATCTGGAAGTCATGCTCACAGTACTTTCTGCCCTCAAACTGTCAACAGAATACGATAATTTCATGCAATCAATTAAAGCACGCAGCTGTAAATGAAAATAAAAGAATAACAATAACAACATACTGTATAATCATAAAAACATCTTCCCCTATATTATATAAAACACAACACTTACTAATAATACAGTATGAAATGTTGATGAAAAATGACAGCACCTATGTGTCTTGGTTACACAGCTAAAAACAGGACTTAATGTATGATGTTTTCTCATTAAAAATAAATTTCAATAGAGAAGCGCCTTATGTCATACATTGAAACATCTATATTGCAGTTCCATTATATTGTGAATGAAAGAATAGGCCCTTTAAGCTAAGGCTGTTATATTTGATGAGTCACATAAGTACAGAAAACAGTTCAGGGACAAGTTTTAATACAGTTAAACATATTCCACACAGCTCATGTACTAGAGGAGGAAGAAAAATTAAGATAAGGCAGTAAGAAAGGTAGAACTATCAGGGCAGATTTTAATGAGCCCCGTAGGCTGTGTTTAAGCAAATTTGAGAAGTTGTGATTGTTTTTGATTGGGTCTTAGAGAGCTGCTTCTTGATTACTTAGCATAAAGGGCATTTTGGAGTAGCAAATCAAATCTGTCAAAAGAGTAAAAACTTGAGAAATGGATGACATCCATGGCATTATTTGGCAAGATGTGGTTGATCCTATATCTTATCATTTATGTTGCTGTAAATGTGCGACACAAAATGCAGATGTGGGTTCAGAAATCTAATTCCAATGTCCTAAGTCAAGTCTGCAAGTCTGCAAATCTACTACTCTGTGCAAGCATGGCTATACACTGTGATGAATAAACATTGTGGTATTACAAACAGAGAGTGCAACATAACTTTACATTTGATGTAAAGTTATGTTGCACTCTCTGTTTGATGTACAAAAGCACTGCTTAATATAATACATGTGTTGAGAATACCAAAAACCATCTTTGTAGAATTTCTTCATAGTGAAAATGGTTGTAAATAGTTATTTGTTGTGGAGTTTATTTTATTTTTTCTACTTCCACTTCCATTCTACTAAGCCAAAAAAAGTATGATCATACTTAAAACTTCTCCTCATAAATCAGCGGGCTACTACTGCTTAGGGCTGCACGATTAATCGTAATAAAATCGTGATCTCGATTCATATGCATATGCGATCTGATTTTTCAATGACGGCGATTCTGCCAGCCCCGCCCGTGCCGGGAGTCGGGACATCATCTGCATGAAAACAAGCGCTCCCAACGAAGCAACGTTATACCACGTGATGCAGAGCGACAGCCGGCCGGCAGTTTGGAAAGCAACGAGAGCAGGAGAGAACCGACAAAGTGAGGAGGACCCCTTAAAAGTTAACGTACTGACACTCTTCAGACAGACACACACACATACCGGACAGCCTCTCAGTCCTTAGCTGCTAACGTTAGCTCTGTACAACACAGGTACCACACAGAAACTTTTACAAAGGGTCATAATTTCCTTCTAGTGACCGTCAAATCGCCAGCGAAAGTTGTTTACACTGCCGGCACGGAGAGCATGGGACAAAGATCCTCTGAGAAGAAAGACGGTTCACTCTGCTCTGCCGCCAGGAACAAACTGGGAGGCAAAGATCCTCTCTAAGGAAGAGGGTTCACTTTGCTGCAGGGTTCACCAAAACGTTTTTTTTTTGTTTTTTTCTTTTAATAAATTGAACACACATTAAAGATCCTGTAGAGAATTAATACATATATTACAATACAATAAACACTGTCAAATTAAATGAAGAAAGAGGATTTTTTTTAAAGGCAAATATTGGGGATTTGTGTAAAAATATACAGAAAGATATAAATAATTATATAATTAAAGATATGTAGGCTATGTTAGGTGAATACTCCTGTCAAATGCATGGTGTTGAAACGTTTAATTTTGATCTTCCTTAGTCCATTTAAACTTTATTTTATCATAACAATAACAATGAATATTATGAATTGTTCACATTTTAATTTAATTTTAATAACATTTATCACACAGCATTTTGTGGAAAAGTCAAATGTTCAGTTTACAGTTTTAATAAACTCAGAACTGTTTTTCAACACATACATTGTTTTGTCTTCATTCAATGTAATTAGCACATATTGTTATTGCGCCATTGGTTTTGGCCTTGGTGCCCCACATTTTGGCCGTGATGCCCCAATAAATTTGTATTTATCAAATGCCGAAGTGGCCTTGCCCTAAAAATGACTTAATTCCAGGCCTGGAATACCTACCTCAGAAAAATGTTGTTCAACATTGATATTATTGTTTAAATTGTTCAAAAGCTGTAAGAGAAGACAAGAGACTAAAGTTTATTGTTTTTACGGTCAGTGTCAGGCTGTCAGCTGTTGCATTTAAGCTAAAAACAGGAGTGTTCCCTCTCTGCTGACCAGAGTTTATGTGCCTTGTGTCTCTTGTATCAGGCACAATCATAGGTTTTGTTATTTAATGATTTTTTTATTATTATTTATTTATAATTTTTGTTACTTTTCCTTTTGTATCAGGAAATAAGCACAATAAATCTTTATGTTGAAAAAAATCGTGAGAGAATCGTGATCTCAATTATAAGCCAAAAAATCGTGATTCTCATTTTTTCCAAAATCGTGCAGCCCTACTACTGCTCAGCACAGAGAGAGGGGTAATATTCACCTGACTGCTGTTTATTTATGGCAACAGGAAGAATTATTTACAGGGAGCAGAGGTTAATGCAGTGCTGTTGGCTTTGATGTTCATATTGACTGGAACATTAAAGACACCTTCTCTTTGATAAACTGACAGCACAGGGCAGCACAAGGATCTTTGGGACCTGCCGGAGAAACATCTGGCCTTGCGTCAAGGCTGGTAGAGAAACAGCTTACTGGAACAAGCTTCTAATGAGTGAATGCTGCAGTAAAGGGACAGTTCACCCAAAATCAACAATACACTCTGCACAGCGATACGGTTGGCGGGTGTAGTTCAGCAGAGATAAAATAGTTCCGACATGAAACTGCTCACAACAAGGTCTGTGGAGTAACTGGGTCATGACTTCTGTAAAGAGGCATTGCTGTTGAGTTTTTTCAAATGTCAAATCAAAGCTGAGTGCCATCTAGTTCAATTATATTTAAGAGAAGGCAGACATCTCTACAGCAATATCTCCAACAGTCAGCAACTCACACAAAAAACAATCTAGACTTAAAAACGTGAGGGGAAAAATATATATTTTTGGTTTTGAGGTGAACTGTTTCTTAAAGGTTGCACTCAGTCGTAGACAAGTGTAACCATGGTAAGATAAATCTTTTCAGGGTGACTTCTGAGTTCAGACAATAAATTCCAAACATCATCTGAACCCATTGACCTGTACTCACATGCTTTAATGTTAACTGTATACTGAACTGCAGAGCATGCAGCAAGTGTTTGAGGCATGTCTCGACCAATTTCAATCCATTTTAAATTGATCCACAAAGGCTTAAAAAAGTCCAAACAATTGGCGATACTCATGTTTATTGTAACCCATTGCCCTGCAGGTGTATTTAAACCTGTCAGTTACTGCAGCTTTTATTAGATAATGAACATCACGCTGAAAAGACATTGGTGAGTGTTACCTCATAGAAGAGTCCCTCTGGGAACTGTTGGAAACACTGGGCGCACACGAAGCACTGCTCATGGTAAAGTTCCCCATTGCTGTTCACTATCTTCTCAGCCGGGGCAAAACCACTCTTGCAGCGCTCACACATGGCATTGGCCAGAGCATTGGCCATGTTGCTGAGAAGGAAAAAAAATCATACTCAGCATCAGAGTCAACTTCAAAGTCAGAACACTCACAGGCATTAACATAATTAATATGATAAGGAGAAGCAGGGAATGCAATATTAACCAAACGAAGCCTTACTGCAACCAATACAACACAGAGCAGATAATGACATTTACTGTACCCAAGTTTATGGAAACATTGATTCAACTCATAAAACCTCAGGTCAACTTCAATGCATTAACCAAGGTCATGTCAGGACACAATTACACTAATATTTTAACATCTATCCCATGTTTCTTCTGTCATAAAAACAGCTGGAAGATGTACTCAACACACGGAAAGCGGAGAGGAGAGTGAGGAAAATGTGATGTAAGAGCTTATCAGCCCATGCAAACACACACACACACACACACACACACACACACACACACACACACACACACACAATATATTGGTTCTAGGTTTATTTTGGCTCTGCTTATCAGGGTGTGGGGATCACTGAGGTGGGAACCATACATGTTGCCTTTTGAGAGACAAGCTGGAATTATTGTTCATTAATCTGCACTGTGTCAGGAGTGTATCTGTAAGTGATGTATGCACAGCATGGATCAGTACCATGTAACAAACACTAATCTGACAACCTGAGATTACAGTTTTAAGGAAAAACCTGGTGAGATGTAGAGTTATTATGACATATGAAGCCAATCCTGCCCTTTCATTAAACAATCAGAATTGTTTTACTGCCTCTCTGCGAAACATGACTAATAGATCAACGGGGCAGGGCCCCAGGCTAATTATTTTTTTATACTGGAGGCACTGGTGCCAGAACCTGCAACTCAAATGTGGTCACACCTAAAAAACATGCCAGAGGGCTTCATAAAAAGGTTTTCATTTATGCTTAGTTTTCTTATTTATTTAGTTTTCTTCTTTTCTTATCTGCTCATCATTACATGTTAGTTAGTCACATAGACGTTGAAAAAAGCCCTTTAACTTTACTTATGCTGGAGGGAAGTAATAAAAAAAAACCCATCTGACACTTGACTTGTAACAATTACTCTGATTTATGTCTTTCACTTACACAACAAGAACCCTTCAACCCTGTACAACTCGCTGGTTAACTGGTGTTCACTTCTGATTGTATAACTGGAAAACATGGTTATTTCTAATCTGGAAACCTACACTATCCTGGAAACAGAATAAATACATACAGAAAAATGTGCCATGCAGCTGCTAAATGGTGTGTCGGTTTAAATTTACAACACCTAGTTTTTATAGTTGTTGACAAGGTTTGGGAATTTGATAGAAAGGAAGTCGTGCTATCAATTAATGCTGCTCAAAGCTGGCTGATTGGACCAGTATGTATCTGACTAGCCTGAGGTAATCTTACATTTGGACCATTCTGGATATCATCTCATGGTATATTAAATCGTCCAACCCTACTTCTATTACAGATTTATGCTTAGGCTGAACCTAAATCCATGTTGATCCTTTCATAGTAAGGATAAAAAACAATATAATGAAAATGTTCTGGACCAAGCATAAGCAGCCAATGTTCGAAACTGCAACATACTGGGGACGCCCAGTAGAGCCTGGCAGAACACGCAACCCATGTACATCCCTATCTAATAAAGGCAAAATGCCAAAAGAAATCTTTAAAAAACTCAAACATACTAATTAATCAACAGCAAAAGTACCAATGCTGATGCACACAAAACAACACTGCTTACTGAATCAAACTGGAAGTAAATGAGGACATGTTGCACACATAGGTGTTGAAAGAGAGAAGGAAAAAGGAAGAGAGAATGATGGGACCATCCTGGCTACTCTGCTTTGTTTTAAAGGTCAGAATACCAACGCGTATCCAGGCAACACACACACACACACACACACACAAAAGACTGTGTAGGATTTTTATGGAGTGACACCATCTGTTCATATTAACTAAGTTACATCAATTTGGGAATAACCAAGAAATCCAAAAATCCCAGACACACTGCTCATCACTTCTTATGTTTTTTTTTTTTTTTTTGGGGGGGGGGGGGGGGGGGGGGTGTCTACTCTAAACTGCTCATTATTTTAACAATGCGCATCTCAGTTCTATCCAATGTCTCACAGTATTGGCACTACAAAAAAATTTAGGCATACCCTGTTTAAAGCACTAACTACATTGAAACAAGATGTAGGGATAAGCTCGGCTTCCATCTGGGTCCACTCCTCAGAAATTTATCAAATACATATTGTTCTAGATATACCCTGTCTGGCCTGATATCACACACACAGACAGCCCTGCCCTATCCAAAGGATTTTAGTGAGGAAGTGACACATCCCTTAGGCATTTCCACCCTTCTATCTGCCTGTAGCACCCTGCGTGAGTGAGAGACAAGCCTATAAGTATAAAATAAACTAGGTTTTCTTGCAAAGGCCAGGTTCACAGTCCATATTGCTGTGGCACCCACTAAAAGAGCAGATTTAAAGTAAACGAGTATAGACAGACCAGTTAGACTGAGGGAATCATAAGTGTTACAAGACAGATACCATCCCTCACTAGCTTCCTTTCCACAGCCAACTGTGTTCCACATTTGTCGAGCCAAAATCTGCCGAGCACTGACCCTGGATCGGACTGCACTGGCCAAGGGCTTTGTCCCCCTGCACCGTCCAGGTTCCCCAACAGTTTACTAACTTCACTGTACTTTAAGGATTAGCTGACTGAATTTCTTTCAGGTACAAATTTACTCCTGGATCTCTACTTTTGACTTTTCAGGGTTTGGGTGATGTCTACCACACAGGTTTTAACAAGTATAATATTGAATGCAAAATCTCAGCACACCTGAAGGCACAGGTGCATAGGAAGAGGGCGTAACCCAAAACGTGTCCACAAAATCAAAGAAAGGTTCCCGCACACTGTATCGCTCTCAGTCAAACATTTATTGGCGTAACGTTTCGGTTGATGTGACCTTCATCAGACATGTTTGACCTTCATCAGACATGTCTGATGAAGGTTACATCGACCGAAACGTTACGCCAATAAATGTTTGACTGAGAGCGATACAGTGTGCGGGAACCTTTCTTTGATTTTGTGAACAAGTATAATATTAAAATTGATCAGTTTGCAGCAAAAGTCTCTGGCAAAATCAGGTATTGTAACCAGACAGACAAAAGTAGGTTCGAAGGATAGAAAATCCATATGATTCTCCCTCTACCCTGTTAACCCCACCGTGCTGACCTGTGACTATAAATGGAGGCTGGTTCTGGTTGTCAGCAAAGGGAAAGGATGCAGACTATCACTTGTGTTATGAATACCTTCTGTTCCCTCCACCCTCCCTCCTCTGGTCCCCACGTGTCTTCACTTTGCTTTCTATTGCAGCTCCTCTATTTTCTCCTCTGTTGTCGGCGTTCTGTACACATCTGTGAACACTATATGTGCTGTAAAATAATCCATCATTATTTTAAACTCCTATGACAATGTTATGGAAAACGACGGGGACCTAGATATTGCTGACAGCTGTCTGAATATTCAAAGCTCTGTCGGTGTCTTTTCACTATAAAGTCTTAAGTTGTTACTGCGTACCGTTTTGACCAATTTCAGTCTCCAATAGCACAATACATTTTCGTTTTCTTTAACTCAGAAGTAAAAGCCAAAATCCAGTTTGTGTGGACACAGGGAGAAATGTTCAAGTACCACACATAGGGACTGATGTCTCCATATCATCTCATCTGCTGAGACCTAACACCAACCAAAATTTGATTTGTCAGTCTTTAACACTGTGAAAGACAACTCCAGGCTCCAAAATGTCCCGTCACAAACCTGTGGGTGACCCTGTGCCCATGTTTTCCTTCAGCCTACGTATACGCTAGATCAGTCAGAAATATAGTACATATATTTAGCCTTCCTGCCCCTCATGCACACATACTTGGGATGCCAGTTGGCATATTCTACTTTGCATAACAACTTGGCACAAAAATAGCCCTTCCTGTGTGCTCCCGTCCGGCAGTGCTCAGAGCTATTCCTGCACAAACATGGTACCTAGGGCAGCTTAAGTGAGTCAAACTTGCCAGTAACGCTGGCTACATTTGAATTCTTCACATTCTGTAACACTGCAGTAAGCTCAGAGCGTACACACTAACACCATGTCAGTGAATGAGCACACCAAATTTCTGAACAAGCACATCCATTACCTCATGCCATTTTTCCTGCTATCACTTTAACTGGCATGTCACTTACCAATGTGTACAATTCTTAATCTGTGATGGTACCACCACACAGTCACAACCACAACTGTCCCAGTCACTGCTCCGTGATACTTGCTCAGAGATACTACAGTTACTACAATGACAATTGAGAGTGGAGGTGTGTCCCTGAGAATGAAACAGCCTCACACCTACCACATTAAATCCATAATAACTCAGTACTTTTTGGTGGAAAAGCAGCTTTAATTTCCTTTAAAGGTAAGTGTCATCATCTGAGCAAACCTTTATTTTGGTCAACAGCTACCTACAGTGCTTTAACCCTTGTCCTCCCAACTATGTACTCACAAGCGAGCATAAAAATCACAAAACTCCTTGTAGACTTTGACATCGCTCTTTCGTCTCTGGGACTTGGACACCGGCACCTCAGCCTCTCCCCCGTCACCGCCCTGCAGCCTCTGGTGGTAACCGTTCATCTCCCCATGAAGAACATGGTCCGGGGCCTCTCCATCCTCAGGTATTGATGGCGGCAGGACACGACCGTTTATCTCCATGCTCATGTACAACAGTCTGAATTAAGTGCTGAAGTCCACCTAACACCTAAATTAAAATTACTGCTGTCAAAAAGCTGAATTCTAATAAAAAAATCCTCTGTGCTTCTTCAAGGCAAGTTTCCAGTAATGGGAATGGCAATCCAGTAAGCAGTGGGAGCTGTAATCCACATCGCAAGAAGGCGACCGAAACACTGATCAGGCTGCGCTGGGAGTACTCTCCCTCTCTCCCTCACACACACACACTCCCTCTTTCCCTCATTCCCACATCAACTCTTGCTCTTTTTTTCTCTCTCACTCACTCACCCCCCTCCTGTCACACTCACTGTCTATTCTTGGGCAGGTTACTGACACTAAAGAGCCCACCCTGACGCCAGTCCAGACAGAGGTCACTGTGCCATCACACACCCATGCCTGAGCTGTGTTTTTTTAAGGTTTTGCATCCCTGATATCTACAGTCTATGACTAATATCTACCCGTGCTTTCAGTCTCTGTGTGTGTGTGTGTGTGTGTGTGTGTGTGTGTGTTAAACAGCTGGAACTCTCAGCTTTCTGGGAGAAATAACAACGTGGCTCTAACTCCAAGTATTGTGCAAAGTGGGAATGTCGCATGAGAAAGCGGAGAAGCTTAAGTGGTATGATACCAATATGACAGAAACAGAACAGATAACGCATCACTGTTTATTTCAGCTGATGTATAAACACACTGAGGAAGGAAATCAACATACAGGGGCTGAAATTGGCCCAGATATTGCCTAATCCACCTCCTGATGTGATGCAATGTAATCTGGTGAATTACATATTCATAGTTTAACAGACAGATGCTACGCTGTTTGGGCCATCTAAACTGATTTAATGCAGATTTTTAACACTACTAATTTCAACTGCATGCATGCTTCCCTTGGTTGGTTCGGTCTTAGCGCACTTTCATGTTCACCAATTCCAAATATATCTTACCCCACCACTGGTAAACCACGTGATGTCATTGTTTATGAACTGCTTATTTTTTCCTGACAGGATTAAAACAGGATATAATGGAAACATGCGTCTACACCAAGTGAGCCAACAGAACGGCTCAAAGCATATATCTGAGGCTATCTACAGCTACAATTATAAAATATGTTAATGGTCCTCAGAAACCCCATTTTGGACGATAGACATTCCTTTAAACCCACAAATCCGTGTCTCCTCTGGGTAAATGATAGCTCTTTATGTGGTTACACTCAACTGGCATCTCAAATTAATGACCACTTCCCAAACCATCAAAACAACATCAAGCCAGATCTGGAAATACACTCCAGCGAGACAAACATGTTCAACGCTCCACTGGGAAGCAACTGCTGTGTAAATCCTGCGAAACTAAGGGATGCACAATAAACACATAAGTCTATAAAGAGCCAAAACACAACGTTCTAGATGTGTGTGTGTGTGTGTGTGTGTGTGTGTGTGTGTGTGTTTCCAGCTGAAACATGTCTCTGAGTCCTTCAGTATAACAGTCTTCTACATGACTCCATAATTCTACAAATAGACAGTTAGTGAAGCCTCAACTCCAAACTAGGTGCTGGCAGCTGCTGTTTAGTGTCTGTGTGTGTGAGAGAGAGTTTGTATACATAGTTGGGGCCAACTCTACCTCCTCTGAAAGAGGCTGCCAGACCTCAAATCATCCAAAGCCATCAATTCACATTTGAAAGTTTAAATCCAGAATTTTAAACCTGGGAGTGATTTGATTTGTTTCTTAAATGCATCATCTTTTCTACGTGCATCATATAAGCATTTTTGTCGGGGCTCTGAAATGAATGACATAATGAGCCAAACATCACACCAGGCACCATCTATAGCTACAAGAGCCTTTCTAAAACAGAACAATGACTGCAGAAATGTCTCCTGTCCTGAGCTGGGGCTCTGCTGGGAATCTCATCCACTGGGAACCAGTGTTGATTGACTCTGGTACAATGGACAGAGGGTGGGTGCTGAACAGGAAGCACACGTAATCTTTCCTCCAGATTAGAGACATTGCCATGCCACAGGGTGTTCCACCTAAAAATGTGTGCTAGGGAGCTTATCAGCTCTCTGGTGTACAGGGTAACATAAAATTATTAACATCTGATTTGAGCTAAATCAAACTTCAGCACTGAACATTAGTAGCATTAAATTCATTTTAGAGAAAATAGAATTAGAGTCAAAATAATTAGACTGGGGGTAAAAATAGCACTGCAACACACTGTTCTTTCTGACCAACTTCCAATTACCACAGCTGACAAGGGATTAGACAACATTTTTCCACAGGGATAGAACAAAAAAAGTAAATCAGAATCTTTCCTTTCTCTCTCGCTCTGGGATACACACACACAAACAAATAGACAGGGCAATAAATCAAAGTTGCATAACATGGAAAGCTCCTTCTAATAAAATAGACAAGAAGACAAAACATGCTCTTGCATCTGCTTAAACAGTAAATTCCTTCATGACAGTTTGTAGTTTCCACTCGGCAGTATTGTTATGCTAGTGCTGGACATACTCACATACTCAGCCCTCGCTGACCACAGTGCCAACCACCAACCACAGTACAAAGAAAGTGGATTATCACTTTAAATAGTACAAGAATAAAAACAAAAACACATTTGTATGACTAAAATAACAAAATAGCTCAAGCTTGCTTGTCAGAGAGGACTTGATTTTTGTGAGACTCACTTGGTATCATTAGCATTTAGACAGGTGACTTCACCCTAGCTGATTCTTGGTCATCACTGATACACGACAGTGTTCAGTCAGGTCAGTGGATAAGACCACACAAAAATCATGCTGTAGCCAGATAAATGAATGAACAGATATTTCAGCTAAAAGAACAAAGATATTAATGCCTTACCGAGAGAGAGACAGAGAAAGAGAGACAGAAAGAGGAGAACATAGAGAGGAGTCCTCTCAGCCAGCTGGTCCTGAGGCTCACCTCTAACAGCACAAGGCCTCAGGACAACCCTCACACAGTCCAGCCAAACCAAATTATAGCTTAAGAAAAAGAAAACCACATCAACTATTGGACATCTAAAACCCAAACCAAACTTCAATGCTATTTCACCCTAAACAGATAGTACTCGAAGGCAAACTATCTGACCGCTGTGAGAGATGAGAAACTGAGAAAGATACTGACTATGTACAGACTCAGTGATCACAGCCTGGACATAGAGACTGGCAGACACAGACAGACCTGGCTACCTAGAGAAGATAGGCTGCATCAGCTCTGTCCTCAGAGACAGGTGGAGACAGAGCAACATTGTCTGCTGCAAGATTTTGATACACCCTCTGACCAGATTAAATGCAACATCTACTTGTAGAAAATAGTGTCAGCGCCATAGATGCAGGAGGTTATGTCACTGCATGTCACAGCCTAAGAGACAACCAACACAAAAACATATGGTTCATCTCCTTACAGATCACACTCTGCCTTTTTATTTACTACTTCACTTAATGAGTTTTTTTTTTATTTAAAATGTATGTATGTCTATGCATTTGTAATATTACACTGTTGTTAACTGTTTTTGAGTTTCCACTGAGACACAGACATAGAAAGAGAGACAGGGAGTGAGAGGGAGAGAGAGAATGTGAGCGCTGATATGAATGTCAACCTGAGCTTAAAAATGGCCACAGCACCTGTCAGCAGTTGACAAAGTGTCTCTGGTTTATTCCCGCTGCAGGATAGGATTTTCAGGCTTCCTTATTGGGTCACTAAAGGTCACTGTTGAGGTCACAGGTCAGGTCACTTGGAAAATGTAGTAGGAAATACAGGCTACTGTTCCAATGGACTGACCTCTGTAGCTATCATGGAGGCAAAGCCATTCATTTGCAAACAGAGACGGATTTGTGTAAATAATCTAGTGCAGTGATTCTCAACAGCTATGTGGGCTTGGCTCCCACAGACAGAAACATTTAACTCAAAACCACACTGACAAGCATTTGTCTTACATTTTCCATCTGCAAAGACAAACAAAACAAAAAGGCACTGGGGTATAAAAGGCATGGGACCTTTGTAGCCTTGAATTTTAAATATATGAAACAATAAACTATAAACAAAACAAACTATGGACATTTTATATAGCGTGTGTCTAAAACAGAGATGCCACAACCCCTCAGACAAGGGTTTGTTTCCAGTGCAAGCCTTGTAGACTATATCACTGCTTGATCTGCTTGGCACAGTAACAGTAGTCCTGTACTGTGGATGAACCTCCATTTACTCCATGAACCTGGAAGTATTTGTATGCATTTGGTGCTTGGTTGGTGTTTAATTTGGATTTGTCCAATTAGCTTGTTGAATTCTTGGTTTCCCACTTAACCTTAACTACTTTTCTTTATACAAATTTTGACTGTGTCTATTTAATAAGGAAGGATTAGGCTGTAATACATACACAAGTCGGAAAGAGAAACCAGAAAGTTATCTGGAGAGTGGGGTAATATCTGCAGATAACTTCACATTGCTCTTAACTGAGCCAATTTAAAAGAGTCCCAGTGTTGATATTGTGGCCAAAATTCTGACAAATATGAATAAAATATAATTTTGATAAATGCTTTGTCATAACTTTTAATTAAAGCACATAATACTCCAGCTAAAAGACATTTATATTACAGAACATTTTTGTTTTGGTATTTGTGTAAAGGTTGGCTGAATGAATCTGTGTCTGCAGACTACTCCTGTCCTCTAAATTTCTGGACCCAAGCAACAACTGTGGCTCTCAGCCGGTACAAGACAAGGAGATTCAGGCCAAAGAAACAAATCAAACACACCCTGCTCACACACCCTCACTCCCCCTCACCCACTGTGTCAACAGCAACCATGGCAACAGAGACAGGAGGGCTGCTTGGGCAAAACCATTTTTCCTTTGGCAAGCATAACAAGTTTGCACACGCACACGCACACACGCGCACGCACGCACACACACACACACACACACACACACACACACACACACACACACACACTTAGCCCTCAGTGTCACACACTGATTCAATGACTGGGCAACATATTTCATGACTAACATTTCCTTTGTTTTGCACTTTTTGTTCCCGACACCCACTTTGACTTACACAATCAAGGGTCAGTTCCACTTAACTACAGGACAGGCTGGAATACATACAGCCCAAAGGATGACGTAACATTTTATATCTAGTTTCTAATGGTGCCACTTAATAATACCTTTGTGGACTTAGTTCTGTATTCATTTCATACCACAACTGTTTTC